CACATCTAAAACATGCTCCTGTAATCACTCGACATACTCCTGAATGATTCTTTCAACAATATGAACATGACCTAGATTGATTGAGATTTGATCTTTTAGCAGGATAAACAGCTGATTCCAACATGTCCTGAGTTAGAAAATCTAATTCTCTATTTTTATTTGATGGCGAGGAACTCAATGAAGTACCTATTCTTTTAGACTTCTTAACTTTCTGCTCTTTAAATCTCTCATTCTGAGCTCTCTCTAGAGCTTTAGCTAGATTAACCACTTCTTGAAACGATGACAAATTCAAGGCTATCAACAACTCTCTTATCCTAGGGCGCAACCCTTCCACGAACCAATCACATGCATCTTTCTTAGTCAGAATAAGCTCAGTAGCAAAACGACTTAACTTATTAAATTCACATTCATATTCATACACTGTGTAATTCCTTTTTTTAAATTCAGAAATTCTTGTTTCATCTATCTGATATATTGGTCACCAATGTACTTACGCTAGAATTCTTCTAAAAAGAATAACCAAGTCACTTGATCACCTCTCAATCTCATGGTGACATTTGTCCACCAAATTCTAGCTTGTCCTCGCAACAAAAAAACTATTCTATCCAACTTTTCCAACTTCAGAACAATAGAGTCCTTCTAACATTATCTTAACATCATTCAACCAAAGATCCATAGTAATCAGATCTTCCTCAGCTTAACCCTTAAATTCAGGTGCTCCTAAACCTTTTAATTCTATATTCATTCAAGTAGATGATGGCGCAAAGGGTTGAAAAGGCGATAAAATAGCATTTAGCATTCCGAAAAATATCCCTTGATCTCTCACTGGTACTTCTAGAGGTGTTCGCACTTCACCCTGCTTGGCCAGGGTAGGTGAATTGCTACTACCCTCAGGTCTATTACTTATCATTTCACTTTGAGGACTTCCACGATCAGACATCTAATACATAACCATATAACTTTATTAGGAAATAGCATACTCGTGACTCTATCAGATCAGAAACTTTCACTTTTTGTTGGCATGTATACCTTTTCAAAACACTTTTGACTTCGGTTTAAGCCTAGAATCGGCTAAACCTTAGATCTGATACCATTAAATGTAATACCCCAACCCATATCTGACCCAGATACGAATCTGAGGTGTCACATTGACTAGTCAAAACATGTACTTTTATAAAAAAAACCATAGAAAATTTAAAACTTTCATACTATAAAGTTATTCTTTTACATAAACATGTTCAAAACCTTAACAGACTCCATCAGAGCGTATATATTTAATGACTTAGTTACATGCCAACATACTAAATTACATAACAAGACATACTTTACAAAATATTTCTGATCTAATCTTTGAGTGGAGATATGTTGCTCTACTGATCCGAAGCTTGATCCTCTGACTTATCCACACCTACGTGTAAGATACTTACACGCTAAGTCATAGACTTAATGAGACATGTAAATACACAATGTAAACTAACAAATACATGTATATATATATATATATATATATCACATGTAATATAAATCATACTCGTATTTATCTTAAACCATCATTGACATATCATACCATAGTATCACGCAAAACAGTATAATATTACATATAATCAAAGATACATATATATGGATCATGTTATTATTATTATCAATAACCTCATATCAGTATCTATATTATATTCATTCCTACCTCTAAGTTATTTATTCTTACACTTAACCTTCCTACTATTATATATCACACATATCACTTCATATTGCAAATACATATGCACTCATTATTATTATTCTCATTCCTATTATCATGATTCTGAACTTATCATTTATACACATCAAATAACACAGATATCATTTCACAAAAGAACACACATATTATCATAGCAAGTTATTTATTTTCTTTAAAGCCCATATATACTTTTGAGAACTGAAGGTATGTGAGTACATAGAGGTTGTGCCCAATGCTGTCACCACAGCTCGTATAAATCCCACTAGGGGCACATAGAAATTTTTCCCGAAGAACCACATAGAACACATGTCCCGAAGGACCACATAGAACACATTTCCCGAAGGACCACGTAGAACACATATGTCCCGAAAGACCACGTAGAACCCTCGACTCTTGACATGCCAACTATACCTATAGCTTTCATAACACATGACATAGGAATTATTTTTTATATTATTTCATATTTTCACATAGGCACATAGTTTACTTTCACGTAGCATATTTCCATATAATTCACATTCACGTATCACTTAGCTTTTCACATTTACTTGTATTCTTTTTCACATGACTCATAAACATAGGTCTTATCTCATAGCATATACATGTTCTTATATCATCACATAATTCAATTAACATACATAGCATATCATGTAACTTTCTAATAGAAACACATATAAGTCATCACTTTCGCATATCTTTTATCATTTATTTTATCTCTAATGATCATCTAACATATTATCACACATACATGCATTTACATGATTCATATATAAAGATGCACTCAATAATTAGACATTTGCATTTAATCATATATATCCAGCACCATATTACTACATGATTATAGCCAGTTGGGGTATTCCACATACCTTATAAAATATATGGCCCTCTTGACCAATGTCTAGGAAGGTCTCGAAGACTCTGTCGCACTCTGACTCTACCCTGCTACACTACCCAATATTCTAGCTCTCGTATCCAAAATTCTCTCGATCACCTTTACTTAATGAGTCAACTCGATGAAGATGTTGAGAGGATCAACAACTAGGTGGGTAAGAATGTCGAGGTGAAGGCCTTCTCTTAATCTCCTAAAACGGTGATTCTTAGTCGCCATCAACTCCAATACGTACCAGCTTAAATGGAGGAACTCTCCCCCATATTCAAACATAGACTGATCTCTATGGATCAAATACATAAACTGATCTTTTATGTCGTTAGTGTGGGCTCTCCTATGTACTTCTAGTAGAACTCAGCTAAGAAGTACTCTTATTTTGGTTTCCCAGGCTCTAAAGACATCTTGACGGTCTCTCACCAGTCTATGGCATCAACATTCAACAAGACGGTGACGCACTCAAGCTTACCCCTCAGGAGTAAGGTACAATTGACGAAGTGTAGAGGATCTCTCTAAGCCTTATGTGGCAACTCTCATCTTTTCATAAAACGTTTTCAAAGAAAACCCCTAAGTCGTACTAGTTTTTTTCCCCACCTGGACGAAAAATGGTGTCGACAATTCATTTAATTGTAATTATGGTGTATTAAGTTGTAATAAATTTTATTTATACATTTTGTTATTAGTTTCAACATTTATAAAGTTATTAAATTTTTAATCTCATATTCTAATATTATCATAACTACAATCATGTTTAATATACATATTAAAAATTTAAGTTAAATTATTAATTACTACATAAAGATGAATCATTTAATAATATTAATTTAATATTTATAAGTATTTTTTAATATTATGATCATAATAAATATAGGAAGTAATTTTAGTAATATAATTATTATAATTACTAATTTATTTTGCATTTAAAGAATTACTTTTTATTAACTTTATCAATCCCAATTTATTAATTTAATAATTTTTTTAATATATTTATAAGCTACAATTTATAAACATCAAAAATAAATATATTAATTTAATTATCTTAGTTATTCATGCATTCTAAATTGTGAAGATGTATTATGTCATATTATAATATTAGAAATTTATAACTTTTTAACTTCATCAATTGTAACTTACAAGTCAGATAAATATAAAGTCATGTAAACATGAAGTCATGTAAATATCTGATCAGTTTAATAACATGTCAGATTATTTACAGATTGAGACAATTACATATCAGGTTTATAACATGTCAAGTTGATAACAAGTCGGGTAATATCAAGTTATTTATCGAGCTAATCTTGGGTTCGGGTTCATATAAGGTTAGATTCGGTTATAACAATTTAGGTTCAATTCAAGTCCATGTCATTCTTAGATTGAATGCAAATCATAAATTTTTTAGTCCTATTCGAATTTTGATAACTCAAATCTGCTTGAATTAATTTTACAAGTAAGGTCAATTCTTTACGTCCCTGCCAAAATGGGTTGACTTTTCCGGATTCGGCCAAAGACAACAAAAGTATTAATCTTCGTACTATTTAAGTTATATAAATAACTCCAACAGTAGGCTTTCTCATACCCAAAATTCAGATTCGAGATTTTGAAATTACGAAAGCAGAATCATTGAATTGAAATAAATATTATTTTCCATCTCTAACCCAATATTGTTTAGGTTAAATTATATATTTAGTACCTACACTATCAGTTTTGATTTACTTTAGTACTTAAATTTTAAAATTATATCTAACGTTTAGTTTTTTTTATACCGTTAAAAACTTAATAGGTGATTTGCACGTGACATTTTTATAGATAAATTTCATCAATCATCACTCAACTATTTTTTCACTCCTATTTTGGTTATTAAAGTTTAATTTTTTTAAATTTAATTATTTAACTTTCAAATTACTCTTAATTTAATCATTCTAAATTTCAAATTTATTATTTATTTTTAATTATATATTAGTAAAATAATAATAAGAATGTCATGTCACAAAAAATATTAATAAAATAAATTAGAGTGATTAAAATATGAGCAATTTGAAAGTTAAGTAGTTAAATTAAAAAAAATTAAACTTTAATACCAAAATAAGAGTGAGATATAGTTGAGTGAATAATGATATAATTTACCCATAAAAAATGATGCGTTAAGTTTTTAACGACAAGATAATGAAATGAAAACAAAACTAAATATTATATATGATTTCGAAAAATTGAAAGTTTATATATTAAAATAGATCAAAATGATAATTTAAGTACTAAACGTATAATTTACCCTATTTAATAAAAAGGAGAAGGTCAATTTTTTAGATTAGACATTTGAGTCTTAAGAAAATAACAAAATACATATTTTATAAATATAAAAAGTAGCTATAATTTGTCCAAATTGAAACAAGACAAATATTATGATAGGGCCGCACCAAAATGTTAAAGAGAAAAGGGATTGATAGGGTTATATGAAAGGGAGACGAAAAGAAGAACAAGACTCGCAGAATATTACACAAAACCGCAACTAAATCCTAAACAAAATTGTATCACTTCAATTTATTGTTTTCCCCCCCTCCTATAACTGGGTTTTGTCAGAATGATGAAATGAGGGCGTTTTGAAGGGTTGGTCCGACGATGATGAATTGGGATAGAAGATTTGTCTCAGCTCATTGTACCTACGGATGTCAAAATTATCAGCGTTGATGAGCTTCTTTTGCTTTGCGTTCAACCTGCTATGGTAGAAACCCTCAAATGAAGGTTCCTTGGATGTCCTGAGGAAAAATGCATAGCCAGCCATGAAATACATGGACGTCACGTAGAAACAAATGGGTTCCATCACATCCCATGTTAGTTCCCAAAAGGTTAGCCTCATGAACCCCGTCGTTTGAACCACCAAGTACGCTAGCCCCAACCACAGTTCTCGACGGACCAAGGAATCCGCTTTTGCATCGATTACCGCCTTCTTCCTCTCCAACTCTACTAGTTCTTTTCTTCTTGGGTCATTTGGACCGGGTCCTGGTAAAGGAATTAGACCTCCCAGTGCATTTGCCACCTGTAATCAGAGGAGGGAAGAAAAAAAAGAAACGCTTCTGGGTAAAACATAGCTCAATATACATTTTGGGATTCTTGTTCTTCAAAATAATCACCACAAAAAGAATAAATAAACAAAAATTTAAAATTGGATCAAATTAAAACGACATTTAAGGTTTTTTTAAGTATAACAAAAAAAAAACAAAACAAAATTGTTAAACCAATAAAAGATGAAAATTTCGAGTATAAGAAGTAGAAAAAGTTAAAAAACATGTTGAAGCCTATCCTTATGAAGGCCGCTCAAGCAAGCTTTCCAGGTCAAAGTTTTTACACAAATTGTGCTCCAATCTCTTTCCAGATTCGTCTAAAATTAAGCAAAATAAATCAAACACCATTCGTTTTAACCGTTCTTCTCCACTTGTTACCCTACCCACAAACAAACCAAAAAATTCAAAAGAAAACCCGCCCAACCAGGTGTCTCTCTCGCTTTCCCACCGTCATCATCTCCCACTAAAATATTAGCCGTCCCCCCACCCCCAAAAAATTTTACTCTTTAGAATTAAATGGGGTGGTGTAAAGGCAGTAGGAGTGAGAAAGATCCCAAATCCATGGCTTTACACCTTAAACCCCATGATAAGAACTGAAAACATAGTAATCTTTGTAATCACTGTGTAGAAACATCGTAGGGCTTTTTAATTTGGGGTCCTTCAGTTCTCAGAAACCATCTCAAACCTGGAAATCCTTTACACGGTTTTTAGATCGATGCGTAAAAAATCCTGTCGAAAGAAAAAAAGAGAAAAAAGAAACACAAAAATGCCCACACAAAAAAACCATATCAGTTTTCGGTAACTTTCATTCTAAAGAAAATTAAATATAAATTCGTATCGAACATATCTTTATTTTTTTCCCAATCACCATATGCATAATCTGTAAGCCAAAACACGCATAGAATCTCATCTGCAAACAAATGAAACTTTCAAGAGATAATTATTCGGTGGAAAATTTATCTACCTGATCAGGACGTAAAACGACGACGTTTCCTAGAACGATAACGGATCCAGATTCGTCTAACAATTTAGCAAACTGCCGTCCCTGTTCCGGATCCGAACAACTCTCTCCGCAGATTTGAATGAAGTCCAAATAAGAAATCCAGGTTCTGCCAGTCTCCCTCAGCCTCGTTTTCACCACCTCCAGCTGCGCCACCCTTAACAACTTCTTGGCTTCCTGAACCGACAGAGAAGCCACCTCTGGCACCGCCTGTTTCGCCGTTATGTGCGGTCCCAACACATCCAAACGGATGCGGTCCTTTGACATATCAATCTCCTTCAACCTCTCCTTCAAATTCTTCCCCATCGGTAAAGTCGTCATTGCCGGTGAAACCGCGGATCCTTTATAAAGAAACCGCCTGAACACGCCATTGCCGTTACTGTCACCTTTACGATTTCCTGGATCCAGGGCCATGTCGGTCTTAGTTTTGCCAGCATTCTGCAAGATTCGGTTTTGAACCGTTGATGAGGAAATCCGGCAATTGGTAACAGCTTGTGAAGAAATTTTCGAAATATTGAAAAGCTTCTCCACCAAGGTTTTCTTCAACGCCATTGCTAAAACCCAAAGAAAATAGAAAACACAAATAACAAGTAAAAACAAATTCTGAGTTTTTTGGTAGAGTAGATATTTGAAAGCTTTGCTTGTTGGTGATGGCAAATCAATGGAGGGTTAACCCCTTTTATAGTGTCCAACAATAGAGGAAGATGAATTGGACTAGGGGATTAAAATTAAATAAGAATGAAAGCCTTCAAAATAACGCGATAATTTGAGAGAGCTTTGAAATGGCGCTTGTTTGGTTTTCTTTTTCTTTTTGCCCCACAATCTTATCTCGTTCATATTTAAAACAGAATTTTGAATTTCTCAGAGGGGACGGGATACGAGAAATTGGAGGATGTGGTTTCACGGGAGAAAATATCGAAGAGGCCTAATTCGACCAGTCATTACACGTGGATGGCTAACGTTGAACTACCAAACACCGTCCAAACCGTCAGATCATATGATCATTTATAATTCGCGTCTCCTTAGATATGACCTGCTTGAGCGTAGTAATCACAATTTTCATATAAAAATATTGTATTAAATATCAGAGACAAATTTAAACATGATGAACCATAGAAAATAAAATGTTGATCTGTTTAATAATCTCAGTTTATTTTAAATAATTAATATTACACCAACTAATTTATCTCAGTGATTAAAAAAATTATTATTATGTTTCTAGAGATCATGGATTTAAGCACCCGCGACTGTAATTGGGTAATTGAACGTTTATTGTTAAATAACTGAGATTATTTATAACATATATTATTTTTCGATCTAAATAATTTTTTAAAATAATTAATACTTAAAGCATAAATTACGTGGAATTCAACTCAATGGAAAAATTGACGAATATTGTTTAATGCAATTTTCTTCAAATTAGCCCCTTTTATGTGAAATTTTTTTGTTCATTTTTGACAGTAAAATTTGAATGGACATTTTGTTAAAAAAATAATTACATAATAAATATTGTGAGAGACAGTTAACAGTTTCTTTATGTGTTTGGATGAGCATTCTAAGAGAGTCTGAGTCAAATAAAAAAAATTTTTGAGTTGATGAGTCATATAACTTGAAGTTGACTTGAAATTTGTTCGAGTCGAGTTAAATTTTAGAGTTTCTATTTAAATATAATTATAAATAGTTACAATATTATGAATTTTTTTATTCAATTTAAATGATATTTTATAACCACATACAATACATGTATATTTTTACGTATTTTTTTCATATGTGATTTACATATATCATACAAATTCGAGTGATTCGACTTAAACTTCGACTCAAACTTAAAAATCTATCTACTAATTAATAAAAAAAATTATTCAAATTTTATTTTACAACTTGATTTAAACTTGAATTATTTTCTAGTCGTGTTTATGAAATTACGGGTCAAAGTCAATTCGAGTTAAATTTTTTCAAGTTAAATCGAATAAAAAAAAATAAGTTTTCGAGTCTAATCGGTTTTGCCTATCCTACTGTTTATGAGATGAGCTACGTTCACTCTAATAACGCGTCGCCACATATGTTCTGGCTTTGCATAGTTCAATAAATGTTTTACAGATACATCTTTAAAGTTGTTGGGCCATCGCCCATATTCCTCGACTAATTTCTTCTTTCTTTACGGTGAGAAAATTTCCGTTAATGAGCTAATTCAGCTACTGCCACCTGGAAAATACATCAACAAGAATGAATATTAACATTTCAATGCCTTTTTCTTAAATATTGGGTAACCTACTTATTTGTGTTTTAGCTTTTTTATTATAAGTTTTGTGTCTTAGTTTTAAAAAATCAGGAATTTTGAATTTGATTTAAAAAAAAATTTGGGAGGAATCTCTCTTTGAAGGATGAAGTATCAATAAAGATAGAAAATAAAATGAGATAAATTGGAGAGAAAGAAGAATGAGGATGAGAGATTTGGGATTTGTTTTAAAGAAATTAGATTTAGAGATTAAAATTATTATTATATCAGATAATGTTCTCATTTTTTGTTAATATCTTAATGATTTGTGATCAAAATAAAAATAAAATAAAATATTATATACAATTTTATTAAAAAAATAGTTGAGATACAGAAATAGAAACACAAGAATGCGCGGGTATCAAATTATTAGTTTACCCTAAATATTTTATAGTTTTTTAACCTATTGACAATGTAATACTCTAACGCAGGAATTATATGGAAAATAATATTTTTTTTTTACTGCCTGATGAGTTGAAATATCGTTATAGTTACTTTTACAATTTGGTTAAAATCACAATTATATTTAATATTATTTTGTTTCCTTAGTATTATTTGCAAAAATTAATAATTCTAATGCGATATCCTGATATAATTACTGTAATTAAATAGGATAATTCATTGTAATTGAGAAATAAAGGAGTTGACAACCCATATATTATTATTATTATTATTATTTGTTTCTTCCCCGATGTAAAAGTAAACTTATCCATTTTCCTATTCTAAACATTTAATTTTTTTTTGTGTGGATCACTAGTATTTTATATATTTCTTTTAATAATTTAAGTAAAAATTAATCTTATCAAATTGTATAATTATAAGAATACGATAAAATTATTTCAACAAATATTTAATATTATTATATTTTAAAAATATTTGATAATTTTAGTTTCTCAAAAAATGTATTTGATAATTTTACTATTAAAAAATTATTTGGTAATTCTAAATAAATAATTTCGGCAAACAAATTAAAATAGTTTTCTCTTTATCGTATAGATTGTTATCCAATTACAATTCATGTTTATCTTTTCTTTCTAATAAAGAGAAATAAGACTCAAAACTCGAGTGGTTTATACATTAACAAATTCTAAAGTTTAAATTACATTACGTTATTAATAATATAAAATACGGAGCAAAATATAGACTTTATAGTTAATAATAAAAGATAGGACAAATTAAAATAAATTAAATTTTGGGATTCAATTATGTATATAGCCATTATATATTTTTTAATATAAAAATGATTTAATACTTATTGTTTATTTTAGATGCCTAAAGATTTTTTGATCAACGTGAGTAACTAATGCTTTTTATGTTATCATTTAAGGTATCAGATCCCTTAAGTAAGGTTAGAGGTTCGGATTCTGAAGATTGTGAATGAGTAAATTAGGTTGGGAGGGTCGTCATTGCCTCTGCAGTACCTAATTCGGATTAGTCCATTAATAGATCGGATACCGGTAGTTATACCAAAAAAATTATTTTGTTACCATTTTAAGGTCATCATGTTAACCGCCGTTAAAAATCTCTCAATCAATGGTTACTAGACATATAACGTTAATTTCTAATTAATTTTAATATTCTAAAATATACTAAATTTCAAAATTTTCCAAAAAAAATTAATGTTTCTATTTTCTAAAAATAACTCAAATCAAAATAAATTAAAATTTTAGAATTCAATTATGTATATATCCATTATATAACTTTTAAAATAAAATTGATTTAATTCAAAAAAAAGAGCTTAAATTATATTTATTATTTATTTTAGGTGTTTAATTGTTTTTTATCAACGTGAGTAGCTAACGTTTTCTTTATGTTATCATTTAAGGTAATTAAAGTTATATTTTATTACCATTTTAAGATCATCATATCAAATGCATTAAAAATATCTCAATAAATGGTTACTTGACATGTGATATTATTTTTTTATTAATTCTAATTTTATGAAATATACTATATTTCTAAATTTCTAAAAACAACCTTGAATTTTCTATTCTCTAAAAAGAACTCAATTCTTTAATTTCGGTCCCTAAATCTTGAAATTCCCTTAAAGATCGAAGATCATGAAGCAAGCGCGTGATTGGAGGTTTGGAGACTCGATTTTGATTTAGATGGTAGTGTAGCCTTATCAACGACGATGGACAGGCCATTGTTGGGTGAAAAATGATTTTGTGCAATGAATTTTAAGGACATTGTGTGTCAATGTGCACCAACAAATGAGACTATCTATTTATGAGAGTCCGATGATAAAAGAGATAACCGGTGGTGATTTATTCGACGGTGACATATGAGATTTAGAGAATTGAGGTTAGATATTTTAAGGATTTTGAGTAATTTATAGATTTTAGATTTTTTAAATAACAGTTTTATTTGAAAAAAAATAAAAAAAAATGTCTCATGTTAGGCATATATTAGATAACAAATTTCTTTTAATGGCCGTTAACATTCAAACACGATAAAAGATAACTTTGAAATGTTAGACACTTACTTTGAAAAATAAAAACTTTAGGCATTTAAATAAGAGGTATATTCTCGACACTTATTTTTATCTCAAAATTTATATGTTTAAAAATTAATTTCTACCAATAACCGATTGATTTAGTGCGATGAGACCATACCCGTTTATGAGATTTCTAGTGGACCGAGTATAGAAATTAGGTCTCTAATAACAAGCATAAAAAATTAAATTGTAAGAGGAAACAAAAATAAATAAATTTATTTGTAAATTATTTTTATTACGTTTAATAAATTATCTAATAAATACATCAAATTTTAAATAGAAAATATTAAAAATTTTATTAAACACCAAATTACTCACACAAAACAAGCATGACCCTCTTTTAAGAGGACCGAAGTTTGATTTCAAATTTTTTCATATTGTAAAAAATAATAAAAGAAAAAATTAAATGAAAAGTAAAGTAAAATCTAATTTAAAATATCACATCAATATCTTCTCTAATTTTTTAAGGACATGTAATAAAAAAGAAATAAAATATAAGATTAAATATGATTTTAAAAATAATTTGATGATCAAAATTAAAATAAAATAATACATGAATGACTAAATAGAAAATTTACCCTTTATAATTATGTGTAATTTTCATAGTTTTGAACATGAGCAAGCGTCTCTCCAGTCCAGGCTTAATTACGAGCAGAATGAACAGAGAAAATTGAATTGAGCGAATTGTCAACGTAATAATATTTTTATTTTATTTGATATGAATTAGTCCCATCAAGAAATGAAGTATCTATTATTAAATTGTTCAAGAAATGGCATCACATATTTCACCATCAATATATTTTTTTATTAAATTAAGATAATTACAAATTAGTATCTGTTTTAATTACTCTTAATCATTTGACAATAAACACTCAATTACTCTGTTACAGTCGTTAGTACTTAAACTCGTGACCTCTAAAAATAATAACTATTTATTTAACCACTAAAATAAATTAATTTGTGTTCCACCGTCAAAATATTGATTTATACACTCCATTAAAGATAGAGAGTTCTTATATATGCAAT